CAATCCCCGCCCATTTTCCTCTTTGGCACAACAGGGCTCCGCCCGCAGACGTTTGAATTTTTGACTGGCTTCAAGAGATTTAATAGGCTGTTCTGCCCCCTTCCGGCAGTGGTTGAGCCTTGGGTTGCTAACCAAAAGGTCGGCAGTTCGAATCCACCAGCTGCTCCTTGGAAAGCCTATGGGGTAGCCTCTTCCTAGCTATTCCCTCCGCCTGGAGTGTACTTGTTCGTCCTTCAGGGTCCAGCCAGACCTGCGCTCTTTCATAGGTGATTTGATCCCCAGGCTCTCTCCTTCCACAGAAGAGGCGGGATCTTTTCCAGCGCACACGTCAGATCTGATTCATTCCTGCGTACTCAGTACATACTCACTCAGCACAGGATACTGAAATCCTGCCTGCGGCCCCACCCCACTGCATCCTGCCAACATTGCCGACAGGGCGGGACTCCAACCCGAAATCTCCGAAGTCTCCTACGCTCCCTAGTCTCCATAAACCGCCCACAACCCCAGCAAGGTACATGCGCACTGAGGCAGAGCCGCGGCGACCTCTCGCCTTCCCCCCGTAATTCGCATGCGTGTTGAGGCAAACCGCCTCCATTCACGCATGCTCCGCTTGACGCTCCCGCCGGTTCTCTCGCGCCGGGCCCGCAGCGCATGCGCACGGCCTGCTGTGCGCGAGACGTGGTCTCAGCTTGGCCCCGCGATACTTCCTCCTCCTTCTCTCCCTCCTTTGCGCCTCCTTTCCCTGAGTGCCGCTTCCGGGACGCCGAGGCCGGTTGTGGAGTGCAAGCTACCAGGTTTGTCCTTCTCTCTCCCACGCTTCCAGCCCTCCGACGCCATTTACCGGCTGCACCTTCCCGTTCCGTTTACCCTCCTGCGCCGTGTCCCAGCAACCATTCAAAAGCAGCCCTAGGTAAGAAGTCTGCACGCCTGCGGGAGGCGCGCGCACCGTCGGGGGGCGGGGCACGTCGTCCAGGCCCCGCCCCCACCCCGCCCCCTTTCTCGACCGTTAAACCGTCGCTCCGACTCCCCGGCGGGTGTGAGGAATTGAATAGGGAGGCGGGTCTCACCGTTTAATACTGGCTTGGCGCGGGGCGGGTGGCAAATAATGTGTAAATAGAAACCTCAGTCCTGGGAGTACCCTACCAGAGGGCCTGTAAACTGGCCGTAAAGCACTGGGGAGAGCCCTCCCATAATGTGTAAAGAGAATCTTAAGTTCTGGGGTACCCTGATAGGGGTCCTGTAGCCAGACCCTAAAATACTGGGAGGTCCTCCAACTGGTGTGTAAATAGGAACTTAAATTGTGAGGTTTCCCATAGAAGCCTGTAAGCAGATGTCTAATTACTGGTGAAGCCCCTGAATAATAGACTCAAGTTCTAGAAAAGGCCTCATTAAAAAAAAAAAAGAAACCCACTGTCCTCGAGTTGATCCTATAGGACAGGCTACAACTACCCCATACGGTTTCCAAGGCTGTAATCCTGGTGGTGTAGTGGATAAGAGCTGGGGCTGCTAACCAAAAGGTCGGCAGTTCGAATCCATCAGCCGCTCCTTGGAAACCCTATGGGGACAGCTCTGCTCTGTCCTACAGGGTCGCTATGAGTTGGAATCGACTCTACCAAAGTGGGTTTGGGTTTTTTTTTTTCTGTTTAATCTTTATGGAAGCAGACTACCACATCTTTCTTCCACGGAGTGGCTGGTGGGTTCTGGTTGGTTCTAACCCCTGACCTTTCAGTTAGCAGCCGAGCACTTTGACCACTGTGCCACCAGGCCTCCAAGGCCTGTAAATATATGTTTAAGTACATGAGGGGCTGTAGAAAAAAGTGTAAGCTCTTAAGTTTGTTTTTTTTTTTTGGGGGGGGGATGGTGGGAGAGTTCCTCCTTGGGTTGGGCATAAATGATAGTTAGGAATTGGGCAAGTCTTCCCAAATAATTTGCAAGTAGACATTTAGATTCTGGGAGATCCACATTGGGCATGCGTGAAGAGATGTTTAAGAACTGAGGACCCCCCCCCCCCCGCAAAGAATGTATAATTAGACTTAATTTATGGGGGGAGGGGGATCACCATAGGAGTCCTGTAAATAGACACTTAAATAGACTGGCTTTGTAAATTTCTGGGGAAACCCCAAAGAGGCCTTTAAATAGCATTAAGGGGTCCCCAAATTACGTGTAGGTAGCCCATAGGGGTGTAAATAAAGTTAGATACTGTGGAAGTACCTCTGTGGGGCAGTTCTGCTCTGTCCTATAGGGTTGTGGTAGGTTGAATCAACGGCACTGGTTTTGGTTTTTTGGTTTTTGAATACTTTTTTGCAAGGGACAAGGATCCTCATAGATACGTAAACAGACACTTTAGTGCTTGGACAGAAGCCCCACTGAGACATGAAAACAGACATTTCAACACTGGGGAGATCTCCAGAATAATGTGTAAACAGACACTTAATTGCAAGGGAGGAAGAGATCCAAAGTTAAGGGAGGGGTTCCCCCATCAGGAACCATGAACAATCATTTAGGTGCCAAATGAATCACTTTTTGTAAGCATTTGTAAACAGGCCTTTGTCCTCCTCTGTCTAGGAAGGCAAAGTCTTCAACCCAGTTTGTGGCTGGGCAGGAAGTCACACCAGTGAGAAAGGAGCTAGACACATCCCTTCCTGGATAGTGAGATTACCCCTGCAGCCTGTAAACAGACCCTTAAGTGCTAGAGAAAGTTTCTCACAGGGGCTTGTTAATGAACTGGAGTGAGGGTAGGAGATTCATAGAGTGATTTAACAGGAGCCCTGGTTGCACAGTGGTTAAGAGCTTGGCTGCTAACCATAAGGTTGGCAGTTCGAATCCACCAGCCGCGCCTTGGAAACTCTGTGGGGCAGTTCTGCTCTGTCCTGTAGGATTGCTATGAGTCAAAATCGACTTCTGACCATAAGGTTGGCAGTTCGAATCCACCAGCCGCGCCTTGGAAACCCTGTGAGGCAGTTCTGCTCTGTCCTGTAGGATTGCTGTGAGTCAAAATCGACTAGATGGCAATGGATTTGGTTTCGTTTTGAGAACTAAGCAGGAGTCAGCAAACTTCTTTCTGTAAAGGGCCAGAAAGTAACTATTTTAGGCTCTGCAGGCTATATAGTCTCTGTCACAACTCTGCCGTTGTATGAAGAAGGCAGCCATAGACAATCTGTGAATTGATGGGTGTGGCTGTGTTCCAATAGAATTTTATTTACAAAAATGGAGCAGGCCAGATTTGACCCATAGGCTCGTAGTTTGCCAACCTCAACCCCTGAGCATGAGCAGATGGCCCCATGAACCCATTGCCATCGAGTCAATTCCAACTGATAGTGACCTATCTTAGTTATCTAGTGCTGCTATAACAGAAGTACCACAAGTGGATGGCTTTAACAAAGAGAAATTTATTCTCTCACAGTTTAGGAGGCTAGAAGTCCGAATTCAGAGTGCCAGCTCCAGGGAAAGGCTTTCTTTGTCGGCTCTAGGGGAAGGTCTTTGTCATCAGTCTTCCCCTGGTCTAGGAGCTTCTCAGTAGAGGGACCCTGGCTCCAAAGGACGTGCTCTTCTCCTGGCTCTGCTTTCTTCGTGGTAGTAGGTCCCTGTGTTTTATCTGCTCATTTCTTTCTTTTATATCTCAAAAGACATTGACTCAAGATGCAGCCTGATCTTGTAGATTGAGTCCTGCCTCATTAACATAACTGCTTCTAATCCTGCCTCATTAACATTGTAGAGGTAGGATTTACAACACATTGGAAAATCACATCAGATGACAAAACAGTGGACTACCGCACAATACTGGGAATCATAGCCTAGCCAAGTTGACACACGTTTTGCAGGGGATATAATTCAATCCATAACACTACCCTGTAAGACAAAGTAGAACTGTCCCATAGGGTTTCCAAGGCTGTAATCTTTACAGAAGCAGACTGCCACATCTTTCTCCCATGGAGTGGCTGGTGGGTTCAAACTGCTGACCTTTCGGTTAGCAGCCAAGTGCTTAACCACTGTGCCACCAGGGCTCCTCCACATGGCCCCATAGAGTGCTGCAAACAGACAGTTATTACTCAGAGACTCCCTAGAATGATGTGTGAACAGCTAGGGGAACTCTCCCTAAGGATCTGTAAACAGATACTTAAATGGTGGGGAGTGGGTTGTATAGGTAGCTATACATTTTATAACATCTTAGATAGATTAATTTAAACACTGGTGAAACCTTGAAATAAAGTGAAATTCAGAATGAGGGTTCGTAGACCATCAGGAGTAGAAGGTAAATACACTGAAATGTCACAAGCATTTGTGTAGTGACAAGCTAAAAGTAGGTCTTGAATGCTGGAGCCTCACTCCCCTGTCCCCACATTCACGAGTGATGGATAATCAAGAGTAGTTGGTGAGGTGAGGGTCATGTTACTGATTTGTAAGGAAATGCCTTACTGCATTTTGAGAAACAGAATGTGTCATTTTTATGTGAACCTTCCCTCTATGAATTGTGTCTATGTTGGGGCAAAGTGATTCATAGTTAGGAATCGTTTGGGCTGCAAGTAAAAGAGATGTATTGGTTTTCACTGCCTCCAAAGATAGGCAGTTCTAATGTAATATGGGATCCCCAAACCTTATGTCTCTTGCTGCTGTACCTTCCATTAAATTGCCTCGCAGTCCAAGATGGCTCCTTGAGTTCTACCCTCTACACCCACATTCGAGTCAGCCAGGAGGAAGAAGGGGCAAAGGCCCCCAGTGTTTGTGAAGAAAAGTTTCCAAAAGCTGCCAGACCGCGCTTTTGGTGTCATACCATTGGCCAGAAAGAACCTAGTCATAGGACCACGCCTAAAAGCGGCTGGGAAGTGAGTTCTGGATACCCATGTACCCAGCTAGGAACTGAGGGTTCTATTTCTGCATAAGAAGTGAAGAATGGATATTGGGAACCACATCCACACGTCTCCCTTTTAAAAGGAAGTGTCTCAGGGAGAACAGGAGAGACATCTCTTCATCCTGGAATCCCTTCATTCTCTCTATAGGTGACCATGTCTGAGTCTGGGCACAGTCAGCCTGGGCTCTACGGGATGGAGCGGCGGCGACGGTGGAAGGAGCCTGGCCCTGGCGGCCCCCAGAATCTCTCTGGGCCTGGTGGTCGGGAGAGGGACTACCTTGCACCGTGGGAGAGGGAGAGACGGGTGAGTGTCTGGGTCCAACGGCAGTATTCATTCATCCATTCATTCCACAAATGTTTATTTTGCACCTGACATGTGCCAGGCACTAATGTAGATGCTGGGAATAGATCTGTGAACCAACTGCCCTCATGGAGTAAGAGGGTAGAGAGTGATAAAGGGGCTGTTTTAGATGAAAGGGTCAGGGAAGGCCTCCCTGAATAGGTGACTTTTGAGCAGAGCCCTGCAGGAGAGGGGGGAATAAGCTGTGCCAAAATGTGACTGAAAAGCATTCTAGACAGAAAGAACAAGTGCAGGTGACTTGTTTGTAGTGCGTTCCAGTGGTAGCCAGGAGGCCATCGTGGCTGCAATGGATGAAGAAGGGAGAGGGCTAGGAGATGAGGTCAGAGTGGTAACGGGGACCAGATCATTGATACAGGGCCTTGTAGACCTTGGAAGAAACTTTGAATTGCACTCTGAGTGAACTTGACATTGGAGAGTTTGAGCAGAGAGGTGCCGTGGCTCATGTTTTAAAGAGTTGTGTAATAATAGTAACAGCAACTGTTTGTATTTATTGCGCGTGCTGCATGCTGGCCCTGTGCTAGGTGTGGTACATCTTTTGGGTATTCCTGAACCCTCACAGCTACTCCATAATGTAAAACCTATGATAGATCTGATTTGAGCCTCAGAAGTGAAAGGCTTGCCCAAAGTCACAGAGTCCATAGGCTAGAACCCAGGCCCGGCTGAGTCTCCAGCACAGCACCGTTCTGTTTGCTGTAGAGAGGGTGTCCTGGTCTTGGAATCGGGAGGCCATGGTTTGGGTCTAGGCCTTGCTTCGCTCTGCTCGTGTGCTTTGGCGACTCATTGCCAGAGCCTGCCCACTTCTGAGAGCTGTTTCAAGGGTGGAAGAACGTTACAGTTGCGACCAGTTTCTGAGCCATAAAACTATGCAACACGAAGAATAATTTAACCGACACAGTGAGCTGGGCTCTTGCTTGTTCCTTCTCTTGGATCACAGCGTTAGTGAGAATGCGCAGTCTCTCTTCCTTCCACACACGTCCTTCTTGGGAAATGTTACCATCTTCCCACACAAGCAACTCCCAGATCTCTGTCTTCGTCTCTGATTTTGCTGCTGAGCTCTGGCAGCCTCCTCTCTTGCCCAGAGGTTTCTCACATCCTCCACGTCCCCTGCAGGCCTTGGCATCTTCCCACCATTTCTCCTTCTCCTCCTCCCCATATCAGTGACAGCCACCTCATCCTGGATGCCTCTCTCCTGTGCCCCTCCCCCTCCACCCCCAGTCAGGCACCAAATGGCTGCACGTTCTGCCTCCTGAATGTATCTCTGATCCACCATCTTCTCTCCCCACTCACAGCCTTGGTCCCAGGTATCATCCAGTCCACACTGGACCTTCTCACCTGTCTCCCTCCCTGGCCTCCTCGAAGCCCACAACTTCTCCTTCTCCGTGTCTCCCCCTCCCCAGACTTTCCTTCTTTCCAAAGCATTTTCACATCATCCTTTTGTTCTTCACCGTAAGCCAGTGAAGTAAGCCGGGTTTAAATAGGTGACCCCAATATATGGGTGAAGAAACTGAGGCCCAGTGAGGGGTTAAGACTCTCCTGGGGTTACTCAAGGAATCAGAGAAGGACCAGGACTCAAACTCGGGTTTCTCCCCTCTCAAGCAGAATAGGGATGGATCAGAGGAGGCGTGAAGAGGCAGTGTTTGGGAATAAGTCTGTCAACTTGGCTAGAGCCGTAGAGGGACTGAGAGGAGAGGTGATGACGATAGCACATGCTCCCAGCAGTTCTCAGTTAGTGAGCACCTGCCGTGTGCCCCTTTCATCCTCAAAATAGTCCTGTGAGTACAGGGGAAGCCAGCACAACTTGTACAAGGAAAGGTCATGGAAGCTCCATAGACACTTCAAACTCCCTGAGGGACTGAATTGCTGGGCTGAGGGTTGTGGGGACCATGATCTCGGGGAACATCTAGCTCAATTGGCATAACACAGTTTATAAAGACAATGTTCTGCATTCTACCTTGGTGAGTAATGTATGGGATCTTAAAAGCCTGTGAGCAGCCATCTAAGATACTCCACTGGTCTCACCCCTTTGGGAGCAAGGGAGAATGAAGAGAACAGGATACAAGGAGAAGATTAGTCCATAGGACTAATGGACCACAGCTACCAAGGCCTCCACTAGACTGAGTCCAGTACAGCTAGATGGTGCCCAGCTACCACCACTGACTGCTCTGACTGGGATCACAACAGAGGGTCCTGTACAGAGCTGGGAAAGGATGTAGAACAAAATTCTAACACAAAAAAAAGACCAGATTTACTGTCCTGACAGAGACTGGAGAAACCCCAAGGGTATGGCCCTCGGACACCCTTTTAGCTCAGTGGTGAAGTTACTC